TGTGCAAATATAACTCTTGCCGCTGTTATCACATGTAGAATCAAATATGTACTTTGCTTATCAAGTTTTTCTGGCATTATACCTAGATAAAAAAAAATTCAGGTTTATAGTCTATGTGTTTCTCTAACATTTTTTCTAACCAAGTGTGTACTATTGTCCAATATCTCCTTGCTTTAAACACATGCCCACCACATATGATAGATAATAAGTACCTGGTTTGTGTTTGTTTACCTTTCCAACATTTCTCTGACATGTTTTTAAACATTTTTGCTAATCTTGTTGGTAGCGAATGCCATCTATAAAACATTTTATATAAATATTTTTATTTTCTTTGTGGGAAGCTGGCATTGTCAATTTATAGTTTCTTTCCCACAAACTTTGCCACTTTTCAGGTGATTTTTAAGGACGGCCAAGCATCCATACATGTCTGGCTCGGATCAATTCCTTCCTGTTTCTCCTCCTTCTTTAGCAACAGTGACTAAAGACAAGGGAACGCTAACGCAAAGGAACGTTTCCTTTTTTGATTCTCTCTTCTTTCCAGTTTGCAAATCAGCAAGGCAAAAAAAAAAAAAAATGGTCTCAGAGCTCCTTTCTGCCATACACAACTTCCTTCATTCTATTACTCAGTTGAACCCTGGTTAAAGGAATAATAGCATCAAATCAAAATCACGTGAGCTGTAGCTAGCACCTGTCTCATCCCCTCAACTTGTTCTGTGTAAATAAGGTGGTTATACAAGGTGTTCATTGTTCACATTCAGTTAACTTTAGAATAAAATAGAGAGGGAAACACGAGGAAGGATAGGTCTTCATAAAAGGGCACAGGGAAAAAATTGGACTAGAATCAGGGGTAGGCAACCTTGGCTCTTTTATGACTCGTGGACTTCAACTCCCAGAATTCCTGAGCCAGCATGGCCCAGCTTGGAAACTTCTCCCTTTCCCCTCAGCGTGGCTGGCTCAGGAATTCTGGGAGTTGAAGTCCACGAGTCATAAAAGAGCCCAGGTTGCCTACCCCTGCCCAAATGCCTGAATTTCGATCACGTGACCATGAGGAAAAAATATTTAAATATTAAACCAGGGGTCTTCAAACTTGGCCCTTTTATGACTGGTGGACTTCAACTCCCAGAATTCCTGAGCCAGCATGGAGGAACTATGGCCCCGTTATGGCTTGTGGACTTCAACTCCCAGAATTCCAGAGCCAGCATGGCTCAGCTTGGAAACCTCTCCTTGTCCCCTCAACGTGGCTGGCTCAGGAATTCTGGGAGTTGAAGTCCACGAGTCATAAAAGAGCCAAGGTTGCCTACCCCTGGACTAGATTTTTTTCTTAGAAGAAGAATTAGGGTAGGAAGAATAAAGCAATAAAAAAAATCCATCCAAATACGACCCTGCTCACGAAAGAAGTCTGGTTGCCTCAGAAAATAAAAACAATCATATCTTAATATACCTTGGGCATGGATTTTGGGGAAGGAAAAGAAGAAAACTGAAATGGAAAAGAACAGAGGTTTAAATAGCGAAATCACAACATAAGAATGATATGCAAAGCTCACAGGGAATAGGGTAAACAACAACATTATTTTGGGCAAAAGGAAACAAAATGCTGCCAAAATTAATTCTTGGAGTTATAATTAAAGGATAGGAGAGAAAAATGATAACAGGTAAACATGGAGATTCTCCGTCATCCAGGTCATGGTTGTCCCAGAGGTGCTTTTTTTTTTTTACAGAATTTTATTTATAATACAATTTAAAAAAAACAACAGAGGTGCGTTTTCAAAAGGCAACTGGAGTTTGTTTTTCCTTGAAGACGTTTAGCTTCTCATTCAAGAAGCCTCTTCAGTTCTTCCATCTTCCATCAGAACTGAAGAAGCTTCTTGGATGAGAAGCAAAATGTCTTCAAGGAAAAACAAAGGAAGTCCAGCTGCCTTTTGGAAAAAAGCACCTTTGGGATAACAGGTAAAATCTGTTTAATGCAGGGATAGTCAACCTTGGCTCTTGTATGACTGGTGGACTTCAACTCCCAGAATTCCTGAGCCAGCTGCGCTGGCTCAGGAATTCTAGGAGTTGAAGTCCAAGGGTCATAAAAGAGCCAAGGTTGACTACCCCTGGTTTAATGCATAAGGAATTGTTAGGCACACTTAAATTGCCACCAGTCCAACTAGTTAAGTCAACCTTGTAAAACTTTCCAAACACATAACTATGTGGCTTTCAGATGAAAAAAGAAAGAAAATATTTACTGATCAACAGCAGAGATACAAACAACAAGCTCGGAGATACAAAAGGAATTAGGTAGCACTTTTTCCAACTAGCAAACTTTATAGCTTTTTTGTGAGCTCCTATTTTGCCTCCTCCCCTCTGTTTATATGGTTCTCCTCTTAGACGCTTCTACAGAGAGTCCTCGACTTACGACCACAATTGGGGCGGAAATTTCCCCACTGCGGTCAAAGGTCGAGTCGGACCCAATTTTACGACCGTTTTCATGACAGCCATTAAATGAATCACTGTGGTCATTAAGTGAATCCCCACTCATAAGTGTGAAGCCATTCTTACAAATGGGTGCTTTTCTGCTGGAAACCAGGTCACAAGTAGCAGTCACATAACCCCAGGACATTACAACCGGTGGTAAATGTGAACCAGTTGCCAAATGACCAAATTGCGATCAAGTGACCATGCAGGTTGCAGTCATAAGTGCAAGGACCGGTTGTAAGCCTGAGGAGTAGATATTTTTTGGGCACTGTTGTAACTTCAAACAGTTGCTAAATGAATGGTAGTAATCAAGGACTATCTGTACAAATAATTCAGAGCAAGCTTCCCCCTTAATGTTGTCCAAGCACGTCAGAGTAGAAATACTCAGACTTCCCAATTATCCTGGCAACTACTGGTGGGAATTTCTTGGCGGTTTATTCCCAACACACTTGAAGGACTCTAGATTTTGAAAATCTCTGTTGTTGTATAAGTAATAATAACAACAATTGTAACAATGGAAAATGTTACAATTGATTGTTATTTACAATGTCCTTTTAAGGTTGTCAGTGCTGCTAGAAATTCTGCTTATATAAAGCACTACAGAGCAAACAAAACAACGGGTACAATCACCATGTGCTTTACTGCTCACTGCTTAACTGTAACAGGAAACAGGAAACTCTACTTAGGACAAAGGAGCAGAGAGTTTATACCATAGATCCAAACTTGTAAATACCCCCATCTACTGGCTGAATACTACTGTAGTTGTTGCAAAGAAGCACATGCCAACAATGAATTCCAACAAGTGCTTACCTCGGAACTTTTTGGGTGGGTTGCAAAGATCACCTGCTTCGGGCTGAACCACACACCTGTCATCCACCAGCCTAGAAGAAAAATCAAAATGAACAGGGTTTATCGTGACTTTTGCATTTACTGATTGAAACAAAGTCTCCAAAGCTGTGTCTTTGACTCTTTGATTTCACACAACCATAAAAAAAAAATACTACCCAAAATATAGATCCTCACGTGAAAAACGTACCAATGTCCAGTTTTGTCACAAAACCGTGGACCCAATAATTTTCACCCTCTCTGCGGAATTCGCTTTCAGAATACATGAAAAAAAAAGAAGAGTCCTAATTCTTTACGTGGAGTTCAGAGAGGCAGTGTGACATTGTGAAAATGAAGGGCGTGTTTTCAATTATTGGCCTTGGACAGTAAACCAGTTCACTGAACTGAACCACAGGCGGTCCTCAACTTACAACCATTTGTTTAGTGACCATTTGAAGTTACAACGGCACTAAAAAAGGTGACTTACAACTGTTTTTCACACTTAACGACCGTTGCAGCATCCCCAGGGTCACTTGATCAAAATTCAGTTTTGGCAACAAAACTCAGACACCTGCAAATGTGACTTGCAAATACGCAACTCGTATTTATGACGGTTGCAGCGTCCCGGGGTCACGTGATCCCCTTTTGCGACCTTCTGACAAGCAAAGTCAATGGGGAAGCTGGATTCACTTAACAACCGGGTTACTAACTTAACAGCTGCAGTGATTCACTTACAACTGTGGCAAGAAAGGTCATAAAATGGGGGTAAATCTCACTTAGCAAATGTCTCACTTAACAGTAAATATTTTGGGCTCCATTGTGTTCGTAAGTCAAGGACTACATGTATGTAGATCTAATAGTATGCTAGGCAATTCAACCCTACCCAACAGAGAGGTCAGAATAACAGAACAATAGAAGAACAGAATTGGAAGGGATCTTCTAGTCCAGTGGTTCTCAACCTGTGGGTCGGGACCCCATTTGGGGTCGAACGACCATTTCACGGGGGTCGCCAAACAACGCAGTCCGCCATTTTTTTTCCCCTTTTCCTTAGCTGTGCTACTCCCTTTTATTCTATTGGCTTTTGACTACCCGTGGTCAGTTTTCCCAGAGCCATCTTTCTGTCTGGCTCTCCTCTTCAATAAACTGCAACCTTCTTTCTAAAGCAGTCTCCATTTTGTTTATTCCCGGCTTGGACTGGACCCTGAGGAAGATTTTTCTTTCAACAGAGCCATCCCTCTTCTACGAATTTCATCCCTGGGCCTTTAAAATCCTCTCTAAACAACTGACAAACACAGCAACCTAGTTGTCATTCAGGCACAATCCTCATGTAAATGACCTCACTGTTTCCTAAGACATTAGTAACCAGTACAAGCCTTGCAAAGGGTGGTTGCATGCAAAAAGAAGAAGAAGAATATTAAAAATAAAAATAAACCCAAGCTAGAAAGCAATAAGCTCGGAAAGCTTTGCATTTGGCTCTGTTTCTTACAAGATTTCCTTTCATTGTGCGTGGAGAAATTCCTCATTTCCTCCCTGCTCCATTCACCATTGAAACTTCAGGGGGGTGACTGCCAGGTCCTGTGGATTTACTGCAGCTCACAGGAAGTGATAAGCAGAAAAATTCATTCCCAGCAAAGAGGAGGTCTTGCTTGAGCTTGGCTCAAGATGCAGCTGGATGTTTTTATTCTCCGAATTTGTGAGGGGACAGGCAGAAGGGGGGGAAAAAACAGAGCACTGAAGTGCTAAGAATCCAGCATTGCACGCAATCAACAAGCTAAGCAATTAACAGGGTTGCAAATCGGCCTGCCTTTACGACAACTTCTTGAACCCACTACCAATTGCAATATTTTTACCCTGTTCTGTATTTTTATTTTATTTTTACTCTTTTTTTTAACATTCCTCTAGTTCAGTGGTTCTCAATTATTTTCTGTCATGCCCCCCCTAGGAAGAAGAAAACATTTCGCGCCCCCCCGCGTGACTGTCTATCCAATCGGGTCCTTTGCGTGTGTCATGTGCGTCCAATATGACAGTATTTGCCGAGGTCAAACGAGCCCCCCTTTACGGAGCCTCGCACCCCCCCTGGGGGGCCCGCCCCACTATTTGAGAACCACTGCTCTAGTTGCAATTCTGGTCTGTGATCGTAAGAAACATTCTATTCTATTCTATTCTATTCTATTCTATTCTATTCTATTCTATTCTATTCTATTCTATTCCATTCCATTCTCTCTTCTATATTCTATTCGATATTTTATTCTCTTCTCCATTCTATTCCATTCCTTATTTTCTCTTCTCTTCTCTTCCTCTTCTCTTCTTTCTCTTCTCTCCTATCCTTTCCTTTCCTATCCTATCCTATATTCTATTCTATCCCATCCTACATTCTATTCTATCCCATTCCTTATTCTATCCCATCCTGCATTCTCTTCTCTTCTCTTCCCCTTCCCTTCCTTTCCTTCTCTCCAACTTCCCTTCCCTTCTCCTTGAGAAAAATAGAGACACTTGGAGAAAAAAACTTGACATTGACTAGGACCCTATAGATGTACTTCCAGATATATTCTTGCTACGTAAATGCGACCGATAGAACTTTAAAACAGTGCCCAAATTTACACATCCTGATAAGCCATGGTTTGTTGAGCATCACGGCCTACTGCTCACATCTAAAGAAGCCACGGAGTTTGATGCCACAAACCAAACCATTCCAGAGCTTACTTGGGTCCACACCTTGCCTATGTCCTAATATGCCTTGTTTGGATTTAACTTAACATGAGGTCTGAATTCATGCCTGTTAGATGCAAAACTACAGAAGCCTGTAGCAAACACGCTGAAAGAATGCATCACATCTTACGTGTGATTTTGCTAACTAATCCATTATCTTGCAACTGTCCACTGGGAAGTCAATTTTGCAAAACCCCCCTTTTTTATTTTTAACCAACAAAACAAAACAAAGCAAAACATAACACACATACAGACACAGTATATACTCCTCCCCCCCTTTTTTAACAGCGATTACATAACGGTAATCTTCTATTATTTACATTTCCCCCCTTGTTCTTCTTTAGAATATTTGTCCTTATTGCCCCATTGTTTCTTATTTTCATTTTTCTTCCTTCATATTCTACTTCTTACTAAGAATAATTCATATTATTATTATTATACATTATTATACACATATTTCCACTTTTGCAAAACCCTTTAAGGACAGTGGTTCTCAACCTGTGGGTCGGGACCCCATTTGGGGTCGAATGACCATTTCACGGAGGTCGCCAAACAACGCAGTCCGCCATTTTTTCCCCCTTTTCCTTAGCTGTGCTACTCCCTTTTATTCTATTGGCTTTTGAAAGCCAATAGAATAGACTCTCTTGAATAGAGTCTAATTCTATTGGCTTTCAAAAGCCAATAGGAATTGTCCAGGCTGTCTCTGCCCTGCTGAGCCCGCCAAAAGCCCCATTCTGCAAACGGTGCTGCACCAGTTGAGTAGTCCTCGACTTACGACCGGTTGAGTAGTCCTCGACTTACGACCGGTTGGGGGTCGCGGCATTAAAAAGGTTGAGAAGCACTGCTTTAAGGCATTCCCACCAGGAGCTTACTACTATTATAAGAAATAATAAAGTCTTCCTGAGATCAATCTTGACCGCCATTGATTTGGACATGTAATTTTCTAGGTTAATAACACGGACGTGGTTTGCCCTTACTCTTCTGCATGATTTTTTTTTTTAATTTCCAGCCTAGTTGATGTCCATGGGGGGGGAGGGTTGCTGATGGTCCAAACACAAGACCTAGCATCCTGACTACTCGGAAGCTGATCATCGCATAATTAAACCAGCGGGGTTACAAACCCGGATTGTGGTTACCGCAGAGGATGCTCCCCGCTCATGAGCAATTCCGTCATTCGGGGTTAAAGTAGACACGCAGTCGCAGGACGACACCTAAGCCATCTTCCACCAGCCACATCAAGAACGGGACTTTTCTTTGGTCATGGAAAAAAACAACACACCACCTTTCCACTTAGCGACCATTTAAAGTTACAACAGCACTGAAAATAGGGGACTTATGACCGGTTCTCGTGCTTACCAATGTTGCAGCCTCCCCACGGTGGTGTGATCAAAATTCAGACAAGCAAAAACCGGAAAATACAGGCAGTCCTCCTCAACTTATGACCACAATCGAGCCCAAAATTTCTGTGGCTCAGCGAGACGTTTGTTAAGTGAGTTTTTGTCCCATTTTACAACCTTTCTGGCCACAGCTCTTAAGGGAATCTCGGCAGTTGGTAAGTTGGCAACACGTTTGTTAAGTGAATCTGGCTTCCCCCAGTTGAGTTTGCTTGTCAGAAGGCCACAAATGGGATCACATGACCTCCGGGATGCTGCAACCCATCGTAAGTACAAGTCAGCTGCCAATGCCTGAATTTGGGTCATGTGACCCCCGAGATGCTGCAATGGTGGTAAGTGTGAAAAAAGCAGACATAAGTCACTTTTTTCAGTGCCGTTGTAATTTCAAACGGTCATTAAATGAATTGTTGTAAGTCAAGGGCAGGGGTAAGCAACCTGGGCTCTTTTATGACTCGTGGACTTCAACTCCCAGAATTCCTGAGCCAGCATGGCTCAGCTTGGAAACCTCTCCCTTTCCCCTCAGCGTGGCTGGCTCAGGAATTCTGGGAGTTGAAGTCCACAAGTCATAAAAGAGCCAAGGTTGCCTACCTTTGGCCTAGGCCTAGGCCGCTTTATGACTCGTGGACTTCAACTCCCAGAATTCCTGAGCCAGCATGGGGGAAACCTTGGCCCCTTCGTGACTCATGGACTTCAACTCCCAGAATTCCTGAGCCAGCATGGCTCAGCTTGGAAACCTCTCCCTTTCCCCTCAGCGTGGCTAGCTCAGGAATTCTGGGAGTTGAAGTCCACAAGTCATAAAAGAGCCAAGGTTGCCTATCCCTGGCCTAGGCCTAGGCCGCTTTCTGACTCGTGAACTTCAACTCCCAGAATTCCTGAGCCAGCATGGCTCAGCATGGAAACCTCTCCACGAGTCATAAAAGAGCCAAGGTTGCCTACCCCAAGGGCAATGACTG